ACCGCCGGTTAACCGGCGGTTTTTTACCGGTTTTGACCACATGGGTATATAGATTTGTAGAGCGTGAGACGGCGCAGTTTTTGATCATAAAGTGATTTATGTATAACTCCACTTTTGAATTGAAAAACATCTTACAAAAATATGAAAAATCATCCAAAATACATAGAAATAGTACTTTTCAGTTAATCTAATCCAATTTTAATCTTATATAACTCGAGAAAAAGAACCCGTAAGAAATATGAACAATATATAGTTTTGTAGAGCCTGAAAAACTGCATCGATCTATGTCATTAGTTTTGATATTGAGATTAAAATAGAAAAAAAATTATAGACGTTACAGTTATCAGTCGAAACACTAAAAATCTGCGAAAGACCCATAGATCCCCTAGACAAAGTGGTCTTGGAAAAATTTTTTTCTGATCAAGAAAAAATAAAACTAAATATACAGAAAGGTGTAAAATTTCAAGCTCTATCTTTCTATCATATTGAAAATGAAAACTGAGAGGTGGCAGATTTCCGATGAAATCTCGCGATGTCCTTTATCAAAAGAGAAATAATTTTTCAAAAAAAAACATTTATTTTTTTTGTTTTAATTTTTTGTTTTGTTCTTTACTAGAAAATATTTCTAAAGCTTTTTGATAATCATTTAACATAAATGAAAAATTTTCTTTCCGTATATTTAAAGGTTTAAGTTTATTTCGTCGATAAGTTTTTATTGTTATACGAAACATTATTAAACGTTCTTTTTCAACCATTGTTATTGATCGACCAAATTTACCAGCACGTGCTGTACGACCAATACGATGGGTATATGTACGAATATTTTTTGGTAAATCATAAAGTATAACACAATCAATATTTGGAATATCAATACCACGTCTATAATATAAATAAAGAAATTCTACATTCATAGAAAATAAAATGTCAGTCAACCGGCAGTAGTAAGAAATGATAATGAATCATTGATACAAAGTCCATTGAGGTACTGACATCAAAATATACCCTTTTTGTAGCGATGTGTCGATGGTCAGTAAACCGAAACTGGATTTCCCATCCCGGGAGTAGCAGGTCTGTAAGCGGACCCAATAAAAAATAAAAGGTTGGACCCGAACGCGACAAAAAAAAATAAAGCTTTTGGATCCGGAAGGGTCCACTGCTTCCTATTCAAAAGACATTGGTTTCAGAAATAATCGAGCTGCTTATCAGGCCACTTTTTTATGGCCCGGCTCGTTTCGAGGTCTGCTGCTCATGTATACTTGATCAATTGTCATCAAGAATTATCTCAATGACATCAGATAATCCTCTTTCGAAGTTGAGTATTATTATTTTTTTTAATTAAACTTACGCAAGAACATCGGAACAAACAAGAATTTGTATTTGTCCAAGTTCAAACATATTTAAACGTGTTTGAATTTTTTTTGATGGTAATTTTCTTGATATATGACTAACTTTAATATTATCTGGTAAAAGTAATTTACGTAAAGAACTTAAACGATCTACATCTTTTTTTGAATGAACAAATATCATAATACGTTCGGAATGTAATTGATTTTGAATAAGATAAGCAATAATTAATGGTTTATATGTTATTGAACAAATAATAAAATTTTCACGTAATGTTGATGGCATTATAATTGATGTTGATGATGATGAAAAAAGTACAAGATGAAAAAGATTTAATTGTTGTAAAATTTCAGGAATATGTGTTAATGTTGCTGAAAAAAGTAATTTTTGATATATTTTACGATTTGAAGATGATTGACTAAGCATATATGCTTGAAAATTGTTTTTTAAAGGACTTGGTAAACCAACAGCATTATCAAGAATATTTAACCAATCTTGTTTAAATTCATCTATAATTCGATCAGCTTCATCAATAACAAGATAACGAAGATGTATTAAAGAAAATCCTGATGTTCGACTAACATGTTCAACAAGACGACCAGGTGTACAAACAATGATATCAATAGATGATGTCCAACCTTTAAAAAAAAATGAATGTTCTAAATAGTGCAGTTTTTTGATTTTTTTTTTTTACGTAGATAAAAATTTATCTAGGAAGAAGAAGCGAAAATTTCGCATTTCACTGATACTCAAATGAAGTATTTGGGTTTTATTGCCAGACAGAAACTTCACCGAGTCTACCTTAAACAAACTCTTTCTTACTGCCATTCAATTGTTGTTTAACTAAAATTTTTTGTTCATCTTCAAATGATTGTTGTCCAGCAAGTAAAGCTGTTTTTAATTGTAATTTATGTCCTATTTGATTAACAACATGATAAACTTGTTCAGCTAAATCTTGCACTGGTAAAAGAATAATAATACGAATACATTGTAATAATGGTATAACATATGTTAAAGTTTTTCCACTACCTGTTGGTGATGATACACAAATATCAGCTAATGGTATAGGTGAATGTGATTGATTTTGTTGAATTAAATAAGGTATAACTTGTGATTGAACAGGAAATAAATATTGAATAGAAAGATCATTAATTTATATTGATCGAATATCTTCATCAAGATAATCAATTTGATTAATAGAAATTGTTTTATCTGTTTGTAATTGTCCACTACTATCAAATCGTTTAGCTAATGATGACATCCATTCTGGTAAACAATATAAATCTTTTTTTTTTCTTCGATGAGGAATTTTCATCAAGAATATTTGGAAAAATTGTAAAATCTTCATCGTGTTTTTCTTCAATAGACATTTTTATTTATATCTAGAAAATAAAAACAGTTTTTCAATTAAATAAATGTACAAAGCCATTTTTTTTTTCAAATAATGTATTAAAGAAAAAGATAATGTATTCTAAAACAAAATAGATTAAGTTAAATTTCCTATTTTCAACTTAAAAAAAAATACATAATCATCTTAACATTCGACTGATAGATAATTAAAAGATTTTATGTGATAAAATCTACTTAAGAAATTCTGCTGATCCTTCACCAACTTGTTCAATAATTGGCAAATATCGAGCATCGAAGCTTATACCAGATGTTGTAGCTTCCACAACAGCAACATGAGAATGCGTTCGTTTTTCTTTTATCTTCTTCCAAGACGGATCGAAGTTTCATGATGAAGGACGAGGTAAGACCAACGTATTAAAACGAGGTGGAGAGGTCAGATTGACAGACGTTCCTGGAAAACTACCAAATCCTAAAATGGAAAGATTTCAACTAGATATCAACAGATGAAGACAATCCAATGTTCAAACTAACCCATTAGATTAATCTCGATAGTTTGTGGACATAAAGAAATGTCGACATATCGATCATAATATTTCCATCGATTATGATAATATTGCTGTAATTGATTAGCAAGAGAGTTTAATGGTAGTCTATATTCATGATAATGGTAAAATTCACAAGATAATCCTTCAATACCGGTCATGCCTAGAGAATGAAGAGCATGCATAACTCTTCGCTCCGACGCCATTTCATAAACAATATCAGTTTTATTTTCTATATTATCAAGTCTTTTCTTCATTGAATTTAATGTTGTGTTGATGGATCGAAATTCATCAATAACAACTTGTCCAAATGACGTTGTTGTTGTTGTTGTTGTTGTTGTTGCTGTGGGATCTGTTTGTTTAGTATAAATCAATGGAATGGAAATTATGGATGGTTTAACCAGTTCTTCTTGTTCACTGTTTTTGTTCTCATCATCTTCTTCTTTATCATTCTCGTCGTTTCTAATATAACAACGATCAGTTTCAAGAATAACTGGAATCATTTCTGGCATTGATTGATTTTCTTCGATGATCTTGCTGGTTACTGTTGGAGATCCTAAAAGAAATAGATCTATTTCGAACAAATAGAGTCAAAATTGAGAGGAGATTTTTTTTTCGAGTTTATCGATAATGAGAAAAGAACTTACCAGTGGTGATTGAACTGTTCAATCCTTTTTCTTTATCATTATCATTAATGGGTGTGGGTGTGGGTGTGGGTGTGGGTGGGTGGGGGTGGATGTTGTTAGGTGAAAAGAGAATACCAGTAAACCCACACGCACACTCACCTCCATCCCCATCCCCATCCCCACCTACACCCACATTTACTCCTGGATGGCAGTGACGATGGGTGTGGGTATGAGGTGTGGGCAACGAGAAGTTTCAAACCCATAGCCATCGTCACATCTACTCACCAACCCACACCCACAGGTACTCACATCTACGTCCACATTCTTTCGTGTTTTGTCAATTTATTATTTGATGGTTCAGTGTTGGCACTTTTGAGTTTTCTTTTCACTCTCACCTTGAAACTGATGACGATAGTGGAAGAAAAAAATTATGAAGCAAAGTCGTTCATATATAAGTGACGAAAAAGCTTCTGTGCGATAAGTCCTTTTGAGATGTTCGTTTTCATTGTGTTTGCTACGTTGCATTTACTTGCGTTCTCTTTTAGGGAGAAAATTGCACACAGATAACGAATGTAGATAACAGATTGTCAATAAAAGTGTCTACATAAGGAGAAAACAAAGAACAAATATTCACATGTAACTAAACATTTTTTCTGATAACAACCAAAATTTATGGCACATCAAGTTTGTTCGTCTCTTCTGCAACTACCGATTGAGCTCGTGTATCGTATTTTGGACAACTTGAATGACTTTGACCTCTTATGTTCAGCCTGTAACGTGTCTGTACGACTGAACATAATTATTGATACATATTATCGATATCAGGTAAATATTAACATTATCATCAAGCTCAATCTCTTCGGTATTCAAGAAATCTTTCCCCTCAACAAATGATTATTTTGCTTATATAATTTCTTCGTTTCAGAATAGTAATACTCGGATAACGATATTCCAAAAATAATGAGTGCTGGTGAAAAAAAACATACAGCCATAACATTGCTAAAACTTTTTCAAAATACTTTCTTTTATTTTGCAGCGTTGCTGTAGTCCCTTCCTAAATAAAAAGAAAAGTAAATGTAATTTTACAGTTTCGGAAATATTTTTTGTAGAACAGGTGAATTTTTCAACAGCAGTTTGAGAAATGAATTTTTAAAACTGATTGTCAGCCAAGCAGTGGCACATAGAAAACAGCAATCCGTGACTTTTGACTCTATAATAAATTTTGCTGAATTCTACAACATTTATCTGTTAGGAATGTTTCAAATTTTTTGAATGAAGGATTTTTTAGAAACTACAAAAAGAGACATGGTATTCTGAAAAGTTTTTTCTAAATCCTCAATAGCATTGCTCTTGATAGATCCAAAAACAATTTCGTGACTGTGATCAACAAAGTATATACACTAAAATAAAATGTGTCGTATATATGTGTCGTACAAGAATGTGTCGCAGACTCCATTACAAAAATGTGTCGTACAAAAATGTGCCGCATTATAGATGTGTCATAGCCTATATATCAATCGTTCATTCACCGTTTTGTTTCGCGAGTGCAGCTGCATATAACCGAGCCTATTGGACATACTTGACTTATACATTTTCATGTGTCTTTTTTTTCCATATTATTTCCCCACCATTTATTATTCGAGAATATATCGAGAGATCGCTGGATGATCGAGATCAAATGGTCTCGAGACAGCTAGATCTTAAGATCTACCATCTTGAACTCCAAGAATAGGTCTACTATTTGAAATTAACTGAAAAAATAGTAACTATTCGAATTTTCAAAAAAAAGAATCCTCGTGCCGAAAAATGGATTGGAACTACGTGTTAAAAATGCGTCGCACAAGAATGTGTCGTACGTCCGCTGGAAGAAATGTGTCACAACGAGCTCCTTGTGTCGCATATTAATTTGTCGTACATTGTGTCGCAAAATACGACACATGCGACACATTTTTTCTTAGTGTGCAGCGAGCTTCATGTGATCTGCAAGTGAAAAATTCCTTTTCAGAGCTTTCAAAAAGGTCTCGAAATGTTCCTTGCTGCGTTAATAATTTTGAAAAAATTATGATATTTGTAGTCAGCACGCTTAACTTTATCGAACTATGAAGACAATTAATAGAGCAGTGATAAAAAATGTTTTTCGATATTTGAGGTAGAACACAAATATTAAAATTTGAACAGTGAGAATGTATGCAATACATTTGTGGAAAGCAATCAGGATTCAATGCTGCCACTGAGGCATACAATGTTAGGATAAGTTCTCCGATACATCAAATCCGCACTTGGATATAACTTTCTTCTTCTAATTTCGACAGATTTGAAAAACATTAATTGGAAACAGAGATCTATTAGAGTCGAATTAATGGAAACAATGCTGTTTCAAAAGAGTAGGTCATCGACCACAATGGCCGTTTATGACAAAATACGTCAAAAGACGATGACCGTCCATTGAACCATTTACAGCTGACGTATACAGTGACTTACGACTTTGACCAATAGTCGTTTACAGTCGTCGTATTTTTGCGAGAGTTGTAAACATTGTGAGTTTTCGTTAGTCATTTACGACGGTCGTAATAGACCGTAAAGCATCGTTTACGATCGCTGTAAAAAGCCATCGTACGTGCCTGCCGTTTTCCACCGTATTTGACTGTGTATGGCCGTTTACGGTCGGGTACCATTGACCTGGGTGGGAAGTAGACTCAATTCACATAACTACACTCTGAGACCTATGGAAATGTTCACTTCTATTGTTCTAAACTAAGATAACTGGAAGTTTGTAGAGAATTCGCCCGCGCATCTTTTGAGAAAAAGATCAACATTTTGTCATGCTCTTGAACAGAGATACACGCTAAATAAAAAATGTCACAAAACTTCTGTCACACTCGGTAATATTGATAACATGATTACGTTCTGCACAAGGTCTGTGTATCTTGCCATATTGCTGAGAAATTTCCATCAGTTCTTTTATGGGATTTCATCAACCATTAATTACTCTAATGAGTCATATAACTTTCATAACCTTTTGTATTACGTATCAATGAAAATTTTATAATTTTCGAAAAGTAATCTAGCGGGAATTTTTGTGTCTTTGGACTTCATGGCAATGCCTCATTTTTTTTCTTTGTCAATAAGCATTAAGGATTGGATTCCTCAAAGCTACTTGTTGCTACTCCACTAAAATGTATTCATACTATCATTGAGTCCTCTAGTTTTGATTAGACCCGATGAGTATTGTTGCTACCAATGTCTACAGTTACGCAGAAGGTTTTACGTCATCTTTCTCCAAAATAACATTTTTCATTTTTTTCTTCGACACTATTTTGCGTTTTATAACACTAGTTGTCTGTTTGCTTTACTTTTTTATGCTTATCTGTTATGTCAGGTATTCTATCACTGTCTGCATCTATATTTTAGTTCAAATCAGGTCTCTCAGAAAGCTGTCTAAAAGAATAAATAGAAATACACTCACTCGCATTTATACGACATTCACCTTCTAATAATCTTCAGACAAAGCTATAAGGTACCATTCAAATGAAATTTATATTGATATTTTGCACCCAGTACACTAGCATGAATTTCATTACCAAAACTTTCCACAACTACTCACTTTTTCCTGAGTTGCAATAAATTTCAACAACACTTTAGTGTGGATGCGGCTGGGTATGAGTTTGGATCTTCTATTCTGCCATATCCACCTACACTCCCACTCACACACCCACACCCTGATAATAAAAATGTCAGTCCGCTATGATGGACCAGAGCGAATTTCAAGCTTGTTTACAATCCATTTACAGCCTTCAGGAGAATTGTTATCACTCCGCCATTACAAGAGATACAAAGCTCCTAAGATTTCAGTTTAAAGTCAATATCGATGTATAGTTCTTCATCGAAAAAAATTTAAAAAGTCACTTCTGCTCATTTTGTATAAAGATTTTAGCACATAGAATGTTAAAATAAGCAACAAGAGTCACATCGTCACACTAAATCCTGCTTTTCTCAGTATAGAAGTCAAATATAAAAAATCTGATCAGACAAAAGTTTGCTTTTATGTAGAGTTTTAAAACAATAAAAAAATATAGCATATTGCTTGAACCTGGTGTATGTTATTTCCATTTCTCTGATGAAAAACCATGTTCTGAGAAACCTAAAGTAACTTTGGACACATTTGTTTTTCATCCAAATCGAGAAAAAAACAGATTAAAATGACATTAATAGTATATTGAAAAGGAAATTTTAGAGGTACGTCATAGATGCAGTAAGCTAGAACTATGTGTCGTACTTAAATTATATAAGAATGTTTATTCAATATTCATCCAATCAATAAGCAGTCTTCCTAAAGCTAAAAAAACTTTTAAAGAAAACAACGAAGATTCTAAAAATACGGTGAACGATTGAAAGTCTTCTCCGCACGTCTGTTAAAATTCGACTTGCTTTTGAAAAGTTATACATACTTTGAGAACGGAAACTTCGCGCATTTTTCTACGAGAACAACTCGATTTCGATTATTTGTCAAAAAAAAAATTGTTTGATGAAGGATTCTTAATATAAGACAGTTGAATTATTATTTTAAAATTCTGTTTAACAGCTCTTGAAGTCTGAATAGTTAAATAAAATTAATTTTTGCAAATACCAATGACAGCTGAACCAATGAAACAACAAAATTTCAACAATAGTTTTGAGCAAACTTCGCTTGCTGTTCAGCGTTCTCACTTCAATAAAAACATATTACACTATGTAATGACTCGATAACACTTTGATTATGTTACTGTTCTTCAAATTCATAGAGGAAAATCAGATTTACTTGATTTGAATGCGTCTGCTCGGATTTTATTTTCAACAGTCACAATAGAACGAAATCACTCAGTGCTCAACATTTTTACTTCTTCTTA